AATTAGCAAAACATAAACTTTTATGTGTGCCAGTAATAATAAAAAACACTATCATGAGCTGACATCGGTTAGAGAACCATTGGAAAAACTGGGAGTATTGGATAACTGTTTTGTCCTAGTATGGGACTCTTCATCAGCATGCACCTGTGACCCCACCAGAGGTCGAATGCAGAATCAACAGATTACGAGGCCAGCTGGAGTTCGAACCCACGACCTTGCAGCTACACAGCAAGCTCATATACCATCAGGCCACTGGGTCCTGATTCAGTGACCAGCCCATGATATCCGACTTCTTCCGATTCACAACATAGAGCGACCACTAGCCAATGTCTTCGGCGATTATTTGTCCTCACGCCCGACCTGATGAACAGTTCTAAGCTACGACGAAACAGATGCCAGGCTGTACTCGCAGATTTTCTAGTGATTCTCGAATCGATGTCAGCTCATAATGAAATCCTGTAACCAATCAATCAAATCTCTACAAACCAATACTTGAAAAATACTATTCATTTGAGAGTCATATACTTCATTTATTCAGCTCATTACGGATCTACACCAACTAAATTATTCTTGAAATGAATAAAACTGAATTGTTGCAATGTAAATGTGCAATGCAATGTGTGTCGGTGGGACAGCGGTTAGGACTCTCGCCGACCATGCACATGGTACGGGGTTCGATTTCTTGCCACAGACACACTCCTTTACCTCACTGAGCCAGAAATAATGCTGGTAAAGATGAAAGGTTTGATATGAGGCTAGCAACCCCATCCTGTAAAAATAAACACTGCTACAGAAACTTCAAGCCACTAGCTTGAAGCCCTATGTTCCACTGGGAACGTGAAGGAAAAAAAATTCAATGAAGAAAGCTGTCACAAAGTGAAAGTATTTAAATTTTCAGTTTTTCCTAAGAAATAAATTGGAACTTTATCCAGTTGTTTTTATACACAGTGGTTCTAAGGAGTTTTGTTAAATGTATATGACTTCATCCCCTATTCCGAAGAAACTTATTCATAAGTAATAACGAGTATTAAAATGTCCTCAAAAGGACATCAGTGAACAAAAAATACTTTATCACTGTGAGGTATGTTAAATAAAACTATTTTATTATGGAATTTTAGTCTACTAGAGTGCTTAAATTCTGCTATTGTGTGACTTAATGAATTCTGTGAATATGTGCGTTGTTTTGGTCTGACAAACTTCCAGTATCACTAACTGAAATTGATTTACTTTCAAATCCCAGATGTCTCGCAGATGATGTTAAAGAAACACAATCACCTCCATTCGATAACAACAAAAGACGCATGTAAATTGGAAGCTTTTACGTCTACACCTCTTAGCGATAAATGTATTAAATATGTATTAAATATCACGACATCAAAGCCAGAATCGGAAAAGCAAGACAAGCTTTCATTACTCTCAAATCTGTGTGGAAGTCAACAGCAATCAGCATCAAAAATAAGATCCGGATTTTCAACTCCAATGTAAAGTCAGTGCTACTATACGGATCAGAGACTTGGCGAGTCATAAAGAGCATCTCAAACAAACTTCAAACCTTCATTAACAACTGTCTCCGCTCAATACTCAAGATCAGATGGCCAGAAAAGATCAGCAACAGGGATCTCTCGGAGCGAACCAATCAGGAACCGATTGTGAAACAAATAGGCAGAAAGAAATGGAGATGGATTGGCCATACGCTGAGGAAACCATCAAGTGACATCACTAGACAAGCCCTCGAGTGGAACCCGAAAGGGAGGCGGCGAGTTGGTCGTCCAAGGGTGACTTGGAGGAGGTCATGCGAGGAGGAGATGAAAGCATGTGGACAGACCTGGAGCGGAGTGAAAACGTTGTCAGAAAACCGAAGTCAATGGAGGTGCGCAGCTGAAGCCCTATGTTCCTCTAGGAACTAAAGGATACAATAATAATAATAATCACGACATCGAATGGTGATAGAGAAAAATTAGTTAGTTAATATCGACGAGGTTCGGTGATTAGGAGGTAAAATTAAACGGTTTTCTGAAGTGCGAATTTAACTTACTAGCATAAGCAAAGCACACAAAATTAATATGTTAGCTGGAGTATATATTATCCAGTCACTCATACACGCACAGTTTCCTTATGCTAAAATAATTTCAGTTTTTGTTTGCTATTAGTTCAGACAGTCTCACTTGACAGCTCATAAGTTCATAATGCTCAGGTTGGTAAACAAATCACTGAGTACATATTGTACATTGCCCAATAACTTCATGAAATTAAATAAACCACCAAAATCAGAATCAATAATATATACTACGTTACTTTAATGTGTCTCTGATTAGTAGGAATTTAAGAATTCAACCAACTTCATCTTTCAACTAAACTATTCGGATGTTATGCATACCACCTAAAGGCTCTACTGGCCCAAGCTCTCTAGCGGATAACGCTTTGGTATTTGAAACTGTAGACACTGGGTTTGAGCCTCAGTTGGGACACCATCACCCACTAGGGGTGCAAGTACATCCAGATAACGAGTCCCAAATAGGGCGAGATGCGCATACTGGATTCCACTGTTGGTCACCATCCACCAACTGTCTTCAAAATAGGCATTATCTGTTATTTCACTTTCTATTCTAAGTCTAGTCTCATTCTTACATAAAAAGGATAAATACTATACATTATGCACCTGTCATAAGCGTAGTTTAATTTATTTTCCAAAAAAATAGCTTGTTCACTTTAAAAATGATTTATGCAAATTGTAAATTTTTTTTGTAAGTGAAAGCGGAATTATGCAAACAAATAGAAGTATGAAGTCTAGGAAAGCATACATAAGTATTGACGATGATGTTTGTAATTCTTAATGACGTAATGATTAATCTAGCAATAATGGAGAAAAGATTTGTAGCTCAGATGGATTATTTTGATTTGCCTGTAATCTCTGAGCTTCGCAATAAACATAGCAACAGTCAAATGTAAGTTCATTTTTACAGAAACTAGTTAAGAAGAAGAAGAGGGGAGTTTAGACAAGAAACAATCTATAGTTATATTGGTCAAGGTAATTTATGAAATTATATTTTGATCATTACAGCTCACTATCTAAAAGACGTTATCGTATGTATTGCAATTTCAAAATATACCATCCACATCTAAAACAGCTGTATGTAAATGAAGTTGCTGTATCTTATAATGGTAGTGTTGTGATGGTGGCAGTTGTAACAAGCAGAAAGTAGAGGACAGTGGGAAAGAGACATTAAAAGGCTTGATCAAAACAAATATACTTTTCCCGTTAACAGCAATCTATTAAAGAACATTAAAAACACCGCTTCATAATGGAGTTCGGCTCTGGACTACTACGCACTATCAGTCATCAGAAAGAGAACTGCACTTGCAAGACAAGTCGTTTCGATAGAGATTTTAGAACAGACACATATCATTAAGCAAGAATACATAGAAGGTGAATTACTTTCTCATAGTGTACACCAAGAATTTATGTCCAAGTACATAATGGCATGTATACGTACTTAGGCAAACTGATATCTACACAACATGTACAAATAACCTTCAACCTTAGTGCAATGATAGACTAAATTAATTTGTCATTTTTACTATTTCAGTACCTAATGAAACAAATGTCTTTCATCAGGCATGACAAGCAATCTCTACAATCTCCTGGGACGTTTAAAATTTACACTTCTAATATGTCTACATCTTAGCTGTTATCAGTAGAACTAGACAAAAATACAGAAAATGACATTTAGATACAGTCACTGTCTAACTTATTTTCAAAAGAAAGGATACTGAACAAAGAGTACTATTCTCGATAACCTCCTCTTCATCAGGCTCTACAGTTATATATACATTATAGTGAATGAATGAATTAGTGTTATTAACAACATAAGTGTTGCTTAAATAACATCGAATCAACAATATTGATGAATTACAGCTCAATGGCATCAACATGAAATAAGCTGAATGTCAGAAAAATTAGGAAAGATAATATTACGAATTCATGAATTTATAGTCTCTACTGAAGGCCGGCCAGGGGAGTAGTAGGAGCTAGCTGGACTTGCTTCTTTTGAACACAGAGCACTGGTTGTTTGAGGTGAATCGCAATAGCCTCTGTTGTTTGGAGCAAACGGTGCTTCGATGTTTTTGGCAATTTATTAGGCACGCGGTGGATGATAGAGAAGGATTTCTTCAACGCTGGCTGGCTTTGTGGCCGGCCGGTTTGCACCAGATGGTTCAATATCGAAATGTCGATGGTATTGACTACACCTTTAGTAAACAGTGTCACAAGTCTAGTCCTGAGTTTGGTTCAGGCCATCGTGAAGTGGTGGGGTTCCCACTGTCCGAAATGTCTCAAACGTTTTAGCCCCTACAAATTTCCTCCTCAAAATGATTTCTTCCTTAACAGCACGGAATTCAAATTTCGGACAAATACCTGGATTTCGTGGGATTTTGCTATACACTCAGTTAAATTAATAAGCACTGCCATTACTTACATATTTCAAATATCTAATTACATAAGTATTCTGTCAGTTCTGATACATCTATACCGAATACTTAAGTACCCTCACACACATACATAAATTTAATAACTACTTCTATCGATTAAAGTCTCTAAGAAATTAGTATTTCCACAGCTGTTAACCGTGCTTTCTGCATAATTTAAGGTGAAGATCAGGTTAGTACAGTATTGATCATTTCAGATTTTGAGAATTATAGAATTAGTGTTCTTATTGTAGTATTTAAACACAACAAAAAAGATTATTTTACTTGTATTCATTACGACTCAAAATACCAGAGAATTCTAAAACAAACACAATAGTTCCCCCTTAATTGCTTTGGATACAGTTCTCACCTAAATAATGTTATTATTAATATACAAAACCCATTAAAAATATCGAACATCTGCTTTATATAAATATACCCCCACAGAATAATTTAGGTTTCTGTCCCACATAACTATCATAGCCTTGACTTAAACTCAGTGTGTGATTAATTACCAAGAAAATAGATTCACTCACTTCTCTGTTGTGATAAAGGTACACACATTCGTGTTGCACTATTTGGAAATCTTGAACACTTTACAATATCTGGCCAACCGAATCCAAATTGTAGCATTTTAGGCAAACAGTTTCGTCTCACATCTTCACATAAATTTTGACATGGATGTATCAAACGTTCTTGATGACCTTCTACACAAACTGGTGCATATAAAGCACATAAGAATTTTCTTAAATCTGGATGACATTCCGTCTGAGCTAAACTCATCCATACTTGTGATTGTTCTACAGCTTCTTTTAGATCTTCATGCTGCAAATAATTCGGCAATACCATGACATCATAACCGATATTTTGACATAATGACATATTTTTAGGAATTGGATAACATCTTTGACTACCGTAACCATTTAATAAACGATGCCAATCTGCATAATAATTTGTTGGATCCAGTGTATCCATAATTGGTGAATATGAATCATGGCTACCTAAAGTGTTGTCATCGAAGAGTAATGATGACGAGGTTAGTGGTGGTGCTGACGATGATAAGTCCGATGACGGCATAAAAGGCAACAAAGAGGATGACGATGATGATGGTGACGTTGGTGACAGCGATGATGATGATGATGACTTATGATCATTAAACAATAAATCATTATTCATATAATTTCCTTTTAAATAATCATCATCATGTTTTTCAGCATATTTTGAATTCCATGATCCTAAAAAGGATTGTTTTGAAGCACCAGATAATCCAATTCTTCCAAATGTTTGCAAAGGATAAGAATAAATTGTACTATTGACAAAATAACATTTGAAGATACTTAAAAATATAAGAATTTTCATATAGAATAAGTAGTGTGCAACACTACTCATGTTTATCTGTCCACTGAATAATTCAAATGATGACTACAATTATACTGTAAGACGATAATATCATCACAAAATTCTCGCAAACAAATACAATAAGGAATTCATATTAAGGAGAGAAATAATTATTTTCTATACTGGGAAAGAAAATTTCTTCACTTATCAGTAGTTGATGTTTATGTAAAAATCATTAGAAAGAAAAGGAATAATTCTGCTTCTACTTTTCATCATCTTATACTGTTGAATCCACCCTTTAACAATTTCATATTCTATATATTTGATCCTCCATTTTACGGTAGGATTATTTGTAGGCTTTATCCAATCCCAGAAAGAAAAGAAACTGCTGCACATACACGTTTACTTCCTCAGAGGACAAATTAAACAGAAAAATGCAAATATGATTTGAAAAAAAAATAATTACTGACATGACAGTGTTATGTAAGATACCTTGGTGATAGGAAAATTTGTAGACAAGAAAGAAATGAATAATTTCGTTTGTTCTCCCTCCATCAGATACACACATACACGCACACACACACACACATGCAATTTTCACATTCCTCCTCTTAAAACATTCTTTTACCCAACTATACACTGTATTAATTTTTCTTTCTTTCTTTGCTTATTTTTCACCTCTACATTGCTACTTCATTTACCGTTAACTCTTGTTCTAAATTTTTATTGTATAAATTAAAAGAGGAAAAACAACTAGCACTTCTGTAAATTGGCAATTGTTTAGGGAAATTTTTTTGAAGTATGTCTTCCTTTTATAACAAGGTAAAATCAAGACAGGATACAAAAGTATAATTATAACAAAGGTTTTCTCTTCCTCCAACCTCTTACCCCTCAAACCCTATCCCCATCGTCATCATCAACAAAGGTATTCAAAACGTCATATTATTATTATTATTACCACTGCTAATACTAATACTTCTACTAATATTGTCATTTGATAATGGCAACCATCTAAATAATGCATGTCTGCACAGTAGCTTTGCTTGCCTTGGTCCATCATCATCCTGCCTTCTACTAATTAAGACAATATAATATACAGAAGAATCATTTCATAGTAGTGTAGACAGAATTATTGTTGGAAAATAAGTTGAAAGAAGGCAGACTGATGGTAGGCGTAGACGGTAGTAACCGAAAAACAACAACAACAATGAAGGTAACAACGGAAACAGTACTAGTGATTAATTCTGTACAACTTAGTTGTAAATTATCCTCGAAATGACTCGGATTACTTAGTGTCTATTTGTAAAGTATTCTACAATTCATTGTCAACTGTATTGTAAAACACAGCTAGTAGGAAAACATGTTTTTCTTTTTATCAAGGGGATTCAAACAACATTAGATAATGTGTTCTGTCTGAGAGTTGACGATCGTGCGAAGAAATTATCTCCAGTGTTGCCAGAATGCTGTCAAGAAGTACTAGTGGGATAATTTGCATTTTTATAGAAGGGATGCGATTATCTTTGAATAGCATGGTGCATAGAAAAAAGGCAGAATCGAGTTTAAAGAGCTATTCACGGCCTGAAGGTATATTGGAATCTTCTATGTAACCTGATGACTGTTATATGGATACAAATTGGGCACTGTGGTAGAGTATAATTCCATTATGGATAAGATTTTATTTCGATAAATCACACAGTGTCATACAGTAATATTAACTGATGACGTTTCGAGCACAAACTATTGCTGCTTATAGTCATATCAAGTCACTACTCACACAACTTTTTCCTTCATCTGTATACATTAGTGAAAATGATTAGGCATTTGAATAAAATCAGTATAAGAGGAAGGACATTCAGAAGTAATAATAGTGTTATTAATCAAATACAGTCAGAGGGGAATTAAAATGTTTGTTATAGTCAAAATAAGTAACTTTTTAGAATGTTATTATGTGAATTGAATACATGGCGATGGTTACACCACCGAGCAGTTTGTTCAACTCCTCGTCATTGCGGATGGCCAATTGCAAGTGACGAGGGATGATGCGGGTCTTCTTGTTGTCACGCGCGGCATTGCCAGCCAATTCAAGAACTTCAGCGGCCAAGTACTCAAGAACAGCCGCCAAGTAGACTGGGGCCCCAGCACCGACGCGTTCAGCGTAGTTGCCCTTGCGTAGAAGACGATGAACACGACCAACTGGGAACTGTAGACCAGCACGAGCAGATCGGGTCTTTGCCTTCGCACGAGACTTTCCACCTTTGCCGCGACCACTCATGATTGTACGTTAGAGCAGAAAAACATGTTAAATGTTCAATACATTTAATACATTTTATTATCCACCGATTTGACTGGTTATAACATCTTCCATATCTCTGGTATTTGCATTGAGTCATTTCCGTTGCATGTGTTGGGTGTAGACTCGATGAACCAGGATTCAGTAATGAACCTCTCTCTTTCCATCTACTTATATTACTTCTTAGAATTTTAACACTTCCATCTTATCGTGTGTGAATGCATGCAATGTAATCGCTGGCCTTTTTTCTTAATTAATTATGTTTTCGGGGTCAATTATTCTAACATTGGCTAAATTCTTATGATCTCATTATCTGACTACTCCTGATCTACTAGTTTGACCTATGTAGTTGACCTCACAGTCATTGGAAGGCATTTTGTAAATTATATTATTTTGTCTAATTGGGTCAACAAGATCCTTTAACCTATAGAGCTTGTCCCTGAGTGGGTTTGTAGGTTTAAATAGCGCCATAATTCTTGCTTTGTCGGGAATCCTGCATAGGGTCTTAGATGTCCCTTCCTTATATAATAAAACTGTGGATGTCGTACGTTCTCTCTTATTTATGTTATCATTATTAGTCTCGCCATTATTTTTATTTTGCTTTTGACCTTTCTGATCTTCCTGATGAATTTTGTAGGATAGTTATTTAACACCAGCACTTTTTCAATCTGTTTCATATCATCCCTTGGGTTTTTTATCGTACTACTTAGTGCTATTTCTTGGTTTGATAGACAATTAACTGAGCCACACTTCACAGACAACGGATGAGATGAATTAAACTCTAAATATCTATTAGAATCCGTTGGCTTTCTCTAAACACTAGTGTGCTGTTTACCCTCTTCTGTTAGATTTATTTTTGATTTACAGCTTGATTCCACACTGTATTTTCGGTACAAGTATGGAATTTTCAGCATGGATATCGGTAGCCCAAATTTTGCAGGCCGACCATAGATATCAGATGTGCGTCGGTGCGGGCTCGAACCCCGGACCATGTGCATGGTCGGCGAGAGTCCTAAACACTGTGCCACCGACGCACATAGCTAATTCTCCTTGTTCATTTTCCGCTTCAAATGTGAATTTTATTCCCTTTCCTATTGAGTTTATATATGTGAAGAAGCTAGAGATATATTCTGTTTTTAACACTATGAAAGTGTCATCCATATATCTCCATTTTTGGACTAGGGTTAAATGTATTGAGGGCACTATTTTCCCAGCTGTCCATAAATATGTCTGCTACGATAGGAAATTTGGTGATCCCACTGCTACACCTTCTGTTCATCTATATATTTTACCTTGATGACTGTAGAAGACCTTGAATATTTCGACTCTCTAAAGTAATAACACGAAGAATTCCTAGAAGTAATCTGTGACTTCAAACTGTATGCTATAAGTGAATGTACTAAATGCTACATAGAAGTGTTCGGAAGAAAATGTAGGGATTATTAGTGAATTCAAGAACGTCATCATAAAAAATTGTTATTTCAACCGTGTAAATCGCATTCCACTTGATGCATTCTTAGGAGCAATGTAACACACTTGTAGAAATAAACTGGAACAGTGAACTCTTTAATCGCATACTTTTACCATAATCTTAGTACATTTTCATGTAACTGATGCTTTGTATTTTGAAAGGTGAACTAGAACAAAAGATCACCGTCTCTGGGTATTACTGCAATTAGAAATATAACGGAAACCAACTTGTTAGGCATCGCCAGTAAATTATAATGGATACTTTCGAATCTAGATTCCGTGGCTATTAATACTGATCGATAAATCATATTTGCAGTTTTCAGGAAATTCATATGCCTTCGGTGATACTAAATCTTGTCACTCAGTATCCGTGTTAAGGACATTTGCTAATCTCCCTGACGCACGTGACCATAAACTAGACAAATCGTCCACCTAAGTTCTTCACCAAAAGGCAATTTATGGTGTAAGTCAGATATGATAGTTATGTTATACGAGCTAGATGTTTTAATCGCAAAGCGCTAACTTCGTTATGAAATGAGCCTTAAGGAATTCCATGAGTTTATCAACCAACTCTTTCGGTGAATTTGAATGTGACTGGATTTTTTAGTCCGCTAGTAATGGTATCAATTATTTTGTTCACTTGATAGTTAACCTTTTGAACCGTATGACTTTCTTTTCATTGAATGGTGTATTTTACCTATGTCAATATGTCTGTTGATTGTAGATTAGTCTGAACTACAGACTCCTTGAAATCGCCTAGTAGTTTTACCACTTACTTTGTGTAAAAATTGTCTGCATGCATTGATATGAAGAAATGGATATCACATATTTCAATAGCCAGTTTATGTTCGTAGAAGGAGTGACAAAGGCGACGTCCACTTTAACTGATAAAATGTTTTTCGCAGTTATTGAAATTGACTTTGTAGATAATGTTGATTTTGTCTTCTTCAGTTGCTGTGTAATGCAGACAGAAGTGATTTTATGGGTTGAGGATGACTCCAATTCCAAAAGGGGTTCAATAATCTTGCAGTGATTTCAGAGGTGGTTCCATATATGTGATCACACAATCTTCTTTATGCTTTCATTAGATAACTTAGAGATGGATTGAGGGAACAGACAACCACAGTTGAGAAGACTGTGATTATAGTTAGTTTCAAGTAACAAAATGATCATCTTGTCGTCCGATCTAAAACTGTTCAAATGCTGGTGGAATTCTCGGCGCACACAAACATATCTACATTGATAAACAAGGATATAGATATATATATATATATGGCATAGAAACTTTTGAGGCTGTTGACATACTTTTTCATACCTTGATTTTCAAAGTCACAACAACAGAA